ATAATCATCCATATATTTAAAACAGCTTTTAATTGTCAAGCAATTAAATAAAAATATAAAACTCTAAATTACATAAATAAAATCCCAAGTCATGAAGAATTTTTTACAAAGTTCTGCTGGTATGAAATAAACATTTTCCCTTAACAACCACAGAATTTTTGTATGTTTCCATAAAGGTATGCTTCTCTTCCGTTTCTACAATAAGGCATAAAATCTTAAAGACATCTAAAGCTTAAAAGTCAACTCACGTCTACGTTTTTAAAAACTAACAAAAGTGATCAAAATCAAATACAGATCTCCAAAAACGGCATTCATGAATTGTGTGGTACTTCCTATTTTGTTAGCTTTCTTCTTCCGTAAGCTTCTTTTAAAGCAAAGTTCGCTGGGAAATTGTGTCCTCTTGTGGTCACTGGCAAAAACAACATGTTTGCTGCAGAGAAAAGCAAAGCAGACAATGGAAATAGGACTAAAGGCTTCAGGAAAAGCCATTTGTGAAAAAAAGGAAAGCCCTCAAAGTGAAGAAAGGTGAAAGTTATGAGTAATCAGAAAGGGAAATTTAATCGGAAAAACAGAGAATGTAAACTATTCAATTCATAGTTAAATTGCTTACCATCAGGAGCCAGCACTGTGGCATAGAAGGTTAAGCCTCCGCCTGCCGTGCTGGCATCCCATATGGACACTGGTTCGAGTCCCAGCTGCTCCACTTCTAGTCCAGCTCCCCGCTAATTAACCTGGGAAGGCAGTGGAAGATGGCCCAAGCTCTGGAGCTCCTGCAACCCACTTGGGAGCGGCCTGGCCCAGCCCTGGCTGTTACAGCCATTTGGGGAGTGACCCATTGAACAGAAGACCTCTCTCTCTTTCTCTTTCTCCCTCCCTCGCCCCTTCTCTCTCTGCATCTTTGCCTTTCAGATAAATGAATCAATCTTTATTTAAAAAATTGCCCACCAGACGATTAAAAAGAAGTATACATACTTGCCACATATGATTATGACTATGATAAAAGCCTCACGGGTAACTATGCATCTCTTACTTTATTTAATCAGTTATTCCAACAGCTCTTTGAAATAAGTAAAGTGAGAGAGTATTTCTACAAGCTTAACTGGCAGGAGACAGGACACCAGCTCCCCAGGCTGTACTCCCATTTGCTAAAGACCCCACACTGTCCCAGGCTCTGACCCACTTCACTATAGGTTAGACCTGTGTCACCATACTCATTTTGAATCTAGAATGTTAGATAAATGAAATATTAATATTTACTTGAAAATAGCATATTCTCGCTTGAAGTGCTCCTGGGACTTCAATTTCTGGTATGGTTTTAAAAGTTTTTCACTTTTTTTCTGGGTTAAAACTTCAAATTTTGTACTTTAGTTTTTTATTCTTAAAGAAATCCAAAAAGGGAAAGTCAAATCAGTGAAATTTACGAATTAAACCATCATTAAAAGAAAAAGGAAATGAGTTCTTATTCAGAACAAAGTGTTCAAACCTCTTTCAGGCTACTTGGGTCAATCTGCTTTGTCACAGCTACGAAGGGCACTTGCGCTGACATAAAGTTCATATTCCACAGCAATACAATCCTCTCATTTAAAGGCCAAGCTGGACAATTCCCGAGGAGTGTTCAAAGCAAGATAAAATTCAACATGCGCCACTTGCCCCCAGACCCATTCAGCTGCACTCTCCAATCTGCGCCCCCTTCTGTGCGAAGTTCCCTCTGCTCCATTCTTGCCGTTCAGAGACAGGAGCTCGCAGAACTCAGAACCAGGGAACAGGTAAGTCAGCTAACAGCCAAAGAGGGTGACAGGGAACAGCCTCAAGTACTCTCCTTCGGAGCAAGCTCAGACTCCCAAAACTACCAGCTTCCAGACAATTCCGTAGTGCGTGCCAGTCCCTATCTCAATGCATCTTCTACTGATGTCGCTAGGAGAATGCCAGTTCCCAACTCCAACCACACGTACACTTGCATACGTATCGCGTATGCTCAGCATGAGATCTGTTACTTCTAACAGTATTTTTTTTTTCACTTTTCAACGGAGCCCACATTCCTCAGGAAGTGTTGCAAACATGCCAAGTTTGCAGTTTGTAAACAAAGCTCGTTTTGAATTATCCAATTCCAAAGAAAAAAATTTTTTTTGTTTTCAGCTAAAATTTTCTAGGGAGATTTTATAAGTAGACCAAATGATTGAACCCCAATTAATCTATCATCCCCATAGAAGGTAGTCCTCCAATGACGTTTTTCCAGTCGGGCTGAGTTCAGCCCCACAGGAAATTTCTGAAAAATTTTTTTAGGAAATTGAGATTTTTAGAACGAAGTATGCTTTCCTATCTGAAATGGAACACCGTGGGATTTTAATTATTGCTTCATATAGATGATATACTGAATTGCATAACTTCTCAGCTCACAGAAAAGAGCCATTCTTCCCCTCCCTAGCAAATGAGGAAAAGAAAAATGTCAGGTGAGAGAGAGCTGAGCGCGAGCAAAGCGGGCCACAGCTTGAAAGCAGCAGGATCAAGCAACCTACCACCTGCTGATCAGACATATCCAAGACTCACTTAAAAAAAAAAAAGATAAAAGGACCCCACTTCCACTCCTCCAAAAAGCCCAGGGGGGATTTCTTCTAGGAGCTAAAGTCGTTGGTTTTGACCCTGGGAGAGCGCGTGGCCAAAATGATAGTTCCGTGAGGTCATTCATTCTCAGCGCCCTCCCAAGCCAGCTTACATCCTGGGGCCGCCTCGGCCCTGCACCCCACTGGAAACTCAATGGCTGTAGAAGGGCCCGGCTCCCTTGTTTAAGAACCAGTCTTAGAGATTGATGACTGTGCGCCGAGGCTGGGCTAACGACCCCCGGCTGCGGCGGCCCGGTGCACCTCCCCCTCGCACTAGTCCCTCTTGGTCAGGTGAGGCTCCCTGATTCCGCCGTGTGGACCCGGAGCTGCGACCAAAAGCGTGCAACCATTCCATCTCGGTATTTTTGAGAACTCAGCTAAAAGGGGTTTTAAAAAAAAAAAAAGCCACCAAAATAAAGCAAAAATGACTGAAGATTGGAAACTGTTTCAGATTGCCGCAGTCAATCCACTTCCCGCTAAGAACCGCTTGGCCAAAGAACACTTGAGAAGGTCTGCCACATTCTGGAACCCGGGGAGGCGGGAGATGCAAACGCTGGAGCGCACTGCCTGGGGACCTGCCGACGTGGTACTGAGACTGAGCGCAGGTCGAGGCGAATCTGACACCCAGGCGGAGGGGGCCTCGTGAAGCAGGCCAGTGGCCACGTGGGGGTCCGTGCTTCCTAATCTCTCTCCTCCCCTCCACCACCCCCGGAAAACACGGTCCTGTGCCCCTGCTCCCCTCCTCCACGAGCAGCTGAGCCCCTACGTGCGGCCCGGGCGCCCCCAACGCCCGAGTTTCCGGACCCGCCGTGGAGCGCCTCCGCGGGGCACGGCCACGTGGCCCGCCCGCGCGTCCCCTTGGCTCCCGCTTCCTCCGCACACATCCGCGGCCGCGACCCTCGCCCCGGGCCGGGGAAGGAGGCTGCTGGCCGAGTGCCGGGTTCTCGCTGGCGAGACGAGCCAGTCAGGGGAGCCCCCTGCGCGGACCTCGCCTCCCGGTACGCAAGCCCGCGCCCCCAAACCCTGCTGGCCCACGCAGACTCCCGCCGCGCCTGTGACCTCTGGTTGGCTTGGCGGCTAACGTTAAAGAGATGTCCACGAAGCGGTTGTTTCGCCCCCAACTCGTTCCAAAAAGAAAGAAACCAACGCAGCAGGGCCAGGATGGGCTTCTCCTCCCCCGCCGCTTCCACTCCCGCCCACGGGCTTGCTGGCTTCCAGGGTGCCAGCCGCTGCCTTCACACCCTCCTTCGGGGGACCCTTCGTTCTGAAGTCTTGGGTGGAAATGCTTCAAATGCAAACGTGTCCGAGTAACTGCAGGGGCGCTGGGACCATCCCCACCCGCTGGACCGCCAAGGAAGGGGGCTGGGGGGCAAGGCCCTCGCAGCGCACGGGCCCCCGTGCCCAGGCTCCGGAGACTCCCCACCTCTTAGAGGCTGACCTCTCGGGGTCACCGTGCGGGAATCCAAGTCCGGGGCAAGGTGGTAATCAAGGGGCCACAGGGTCCTCCCCCCTTGGGCGGGCGGCGCTGCGCTGGCTCCCTCCGGCCCTGCTTCCATTCGCCACGGGCAGGGCGCGAACTTGGGCCCCTTTCAGCACCCTCGCAGGCGCAGTCCGTTAGGCACAGGGCAGTTTGAGGTTGGGACAGTGTGGAGAACGGAAGAGTGCCCCGACGCTGCTCGGGGCCGGGTGCTGGCGCAGGCCCGGGGCGCAGCGCACAGCCTCCAAGGCGCGGCGCGGCCACGTCTCCACAAACGCCCACGACCTCTGAGCCGCGGCCCTGGAGACAGCACCGGGGTCGGCCACCTGGCCGCTGAAGGGGTGGGAGGTGGGGTTCTCCGCGGTTGACAGTTTGCGGGCCGCTCCCCGCCCCCACCCACCGCTACTGAGATTCCCCCCAACAGGCCCCGTGGACCTAGCAGGCGGGCACTGGGGCGAGACGAGGCATCTATCCACTGCGTCGAAGCCGCTGCCTCTGCTGTCACCGCCGCCGTCCGGGCGGAGCTGCCACGGCGGACGGGACGGTCCCCTTGGCCGCTTCCCGGCGCCGCGCTCGGGTGCGGGGCGCGCCACCCGCGCGCTGCGGCGCGGAAGGAAACCGCCCCGCGTCCGCCCGCGAGGCTAGCGGGAGGGAGGCGAGGAGGCGGGCGCAGCGGCCGGCAGCCGGGGCCGGGTCGTTTTTGAATGGTTTGGGAGGACGAATTGTTAGACCCCGAGGAGGAAGAGGAGGAGGAGGTGGTGGAGAGGAGGAGGAGAGGAGGAGGAGGAGGCGGGCGGGGGGCCGGGCCGGGGGTGGGGGCTGGAGAGCGGAAACTTTGCTATGAAACCTGGAAAAGTCCCTCCTCCCCACGTCAGGCCAATGACACTGCTGCCCCCAAACTTTCCGCCCGCACGGAGGTATAAGAGCCTCCAAGCCCGCAGCCTGCGCCCATCTCCCAGACACCTCGCGGGCTCGCCAGCACCGGCCCGCTTTCCAGGAGGCCCGGCCGGGTGTGCGTGCGGCCGCTGGGCGCCGTCTTTTTGGACCTCGGGGCCATCCACACCGTCCCCTCCCCCGCCCGCCTCCTGCCCGCCTCCCCCCCGCGCGCGCCCTCCCCGCGGAGGTCCTCCCGCTCAGCTCCTCGCCGGGCCGCACCGCCCCGGCCGGCGCCGCGCGCTGGGGGAAGCTGGCGGGCTGAAGAGCCCGGCTCTGCTCCTCTGCCCCCGGGGCCCGCGAGGCCGCGCGCCGCCGCCCGAGAGATGATGCAGGACGTGTCCAGCTCGCCAGTCTCGCCGGCCGACGACAGCCTGAGCAACAGCGAGGAGGAGCCGGACCGGCAGCAGCCGCCGAGCGGCAAGCGCGGGGGGCGCAAGCGGCGCAGCAGCCGGCGCAGCGCGGGCGGCGGCGCGGGGCCCGGCGGGGCCGCGGGCGGGGGCGTCGCAGCCGGCGATGAGCCCGGCAGCCCGGCGCAGGGCAAGCGCGGCAAGAAGTCTGCGGGCTGCGGCGGTGGTGGCGGCGGCGGTGGTGGCGGCGCGGGCGGCGGCGGTGGCGGCAGCAGCAGCGGCGGCGGGAGCCCGCAGTCGTACGAGGAGCTGCAGACGCAGCGGGTCATGGCCAATGTGCGGGAGCGCCAGCGCACGCAATCGCTGAACGAGGCGTTCGCCGCGCTGCGGAAGATCATCCCCACGCTGCCTTCGGACAAGCTGAGCAAGATCCAGACGCTCAAGCTGGCCGCCAGGTACATCGACTTCCTGTACCAGGTCCTGCAGAGCGACGAGCTGGACTCCAAGATGGCAAGCTGCAGCTACGTGGCCCACGAGCGGCTCAGCTACGCCTTCTCGGTCTGGAGGATGGAGGGGGCCTGGTCCATGTCCGCGTCCCACTAGCAGGCGGAGCTCCCCACCCCCTCGGCAGGGCCCGGAGCCCTAGGTAAGGAGCGGCGCCTGTGCGCCCCTTCGCCGCTGCGCGCGCGGCCGACCGCGGCCCCGGTGCGCCTCGCCGGCCGCCCGGCTAACGCTCCCCTCGCCACCTCCACCCCCCGCCCCGCCCCGCTTCCCGCGCCCGGGCCGGGGAGTGGGGGGTCCCCTGGGTGGGTGGGTGGGGGCTGTGCGCGAGCGCGCGCGCGGGGAGACCGCGAAAGCCCGGAGCGTCGCGGGTGAAACTCAGTTCCGCCCGCGCCCCTCTTTCCTCCTTTCGGCTGGAAGATTTCGTTCTCCTCCTTAAAACAAATGTTTCCAGATTCCACCTCCTCCCTCTTTCCGCCCACCCACTTCCTCTGGCCCTGGGGCTGAAATCCTTCCCGGCCGCGCGGCGCGGCGCTCGGCGGCGGTGCGGGCGGCCGTGCGAGCCGGTCGCCAGCCCGCAGCCGCGGGGACCCCCGCCGGTTAATCGACTTTCCTCCCCTGCTCTGGGCTTTTGCAGATGTCCTTGTGTCCAGAGGAGGAGAGAATGGACAGTCTAGAGACTCTGGAGCTGGATAACTAAATAATAAATATCTATGCCAAAGATTGTCTTGGAGATTAGAAGAGCAGAACCCAAATTCAAAGACACAGGGCGTGGGGCGCACTTTTAAGAGAGAAAGCGAGACAGGCCCGTGGACAGTGATGGCCAGATGCGCAGCGGCACCATCCTCTACATTCTGATAGAAGTCTGAACAGTTGTTTGTGTTCCTTTGTGTTTCTGTTTTGTTTTTGTTTTTTGGGGCTTTTTTTTTTTTGACGAAGAATGTTTTTATTTTTATTTTTTTCATGCATGCATTCTCAAGAGGTCGTGCCAATCAGCCACTGAAAGGAAAGGCATCATCACGGACTTTTCTCTATTTTAAAATGGTAACGATCAGAGGAATTTTAAGAACACCTTTAGAAATAAAAAAAAAAAATACTGGGATCAAACTGGCCTGCAGAAACCATAGTCAGTTAATTCCGTTTTTCGTTCTTCCTCTGAGGGAAAAAAAAAAAACTTAAAATACAAAAAACAACATTCTATTTATTTATTGATGACCCATGGTAAAAATGCAAATAGATCCGGTGTCTAAATGCATTCCTATTTTTATGATTGTTTTGTAAATATCTTTGTATATTATTTTTCTGCAATAAATAAATATGATTGAAAATTTTAAGAACCTTAGAGTTTGCTCTATATTTTTAAAGCTCAGGAGTAAGTTGGTGGTGAATACCTGCTTGTTTAACTATGGAGGCACCCAGGAGGCACCAAGCACTAAGATAAACAAAGCAGTGAAAAACTCAAATAAACCAGCTACTGACAGGCACAGGCGTGGTATTTAAAAAGACAGCTTTATTATTACTCCAGTTTGCTGTTCGGCGGGCTCAGTAGCATCTCTTCATCCCTTGTCAAGTCCCAAATATCAAAACTTCCACCAACTGGCTCTTCCTATCTTGTATTCGGGGTGGTAACCGGCTAACATAGACAAGCAAGCATGGAGCCAGCAGGATTTTCTCCTGTTCCTGTGTATTTTGGTCCTGGCCTCCACTCATTGTGAGGATTGGTAAATAATAGGATAAAATGATGGGCTGATGATCCTACCACATTAATGGATACAAGTGCACGCACCAGAGCAGAGTTTAATTAAGGAAAGAGTTTATGTCCCTCCTGTTTGACGAATACACTTGACATTTTTAGTGTCATGTGTGCTAAAAAGAAAAGAATATTCTTTATGGCTGTTATCTATTTTCAGAACTCCTTCTTTATATATAAAGGATATACAGCTATGGGGAAAAGGACGACCTGAACTTTCAGTGTCTTGGTAACTGCTACAACAATTACAATCTTAAATTGCATTGGCTACTCACTTTCTAGTCAGTTAATGAGCAAGAACATCTGACCCAAAGTTCTACAGAATTTTCCTTCTTTACAACACACACACACACACATACACACACAGGATCTGATGAAGTGAATATGAAGGGCAAATGGTGTTTAATTTTTTTTTATTCATTCTGATTATTCTGGGCCAGGACTATAATTGCTTTTATAATTAAGGTCACTAAAAATGGTGATTTTTTTTTATCACTTCTTAGCTTTCACATCCAGCTTCCTGCACTCAGATGAAACCAGGGAAGCTTTCACACTGGGAACATATTTTGGTGCCTAAACTCCCACAATAACTATGGCGAATGCGTATGTCTAAACAGATGTCGTTTGCATAGCTCAGATGGAGGTTATTTTCTTGCTTAAAAGGTTCTTGTTTACCGCTGTATACAGCATCATAGAATGCTGACATCTCAGCATTGTAAGTTTATTATTATGAATATTTTAGACCATATGTTACAGTAAGGAGCCTGTAGCGTTTATGTACATTAAAAGATTAGTGACAGCGTGGGGCAAATTTTTTAGATAATCCTTAACCAAATAAGAAAAAGGAAGGTGATTATGGGTGGGTGTATTTGTGGGTAAGTGGGTGTGTTTATGGGGTGTGTGTGTGTGTAGGGTAGAAACATTAGGAGAGGGTGCTGGGGGAATGAGAAGGTATCAGGATGCTAATTTTTTCGAGTATCATCCAAACACCTTCATTTTCTAAACTCTTCCTGAGGGAAGCTCCTTGTTCACCAGTTTGGTCTAACTATTTGATATTTCAGATTCTTTCAAGCATGCCAGCCTGGAGCTGACCATCACTGCTGAAAAAGGTAAACACTATCTTGACTCTGGATTTAAAAGCATATAGAGAGGTAGAAGTTTCAAAGTCCATTTGCCTCTTTTTCTTTCTTTTTTTTTTCTTTTTTTGGTGTTTTGCTTTGTTCCACTGTTTTTTTTTTTTTTTTCCTAAGAGGGAATACTTTGGAAGAAAGCAAAAAAGCAAACGATATTGAGTGATACAGCTTACTCAGCCAAAAGGAATATTTTCCCCCAAGATTTTGAGAGGACACAAATGAACCCAAACAGGGTGGCGGAACAGTTGTGCTTTGAATGACGAGAGTGCTCCGTGGAGATAGAAACTACTAGAACAGAACCCCCAGCTATGCCTTTAATCCTCCCATACACCTAACACGTGGGACGTGTTTTTAGCATGGCAGTGAAGCCACCTGTGTCAGGTCTTTGCCTGGGCCACAGTGCTTCCCTTCATTGCTGCTACCAGCTTAGTGAAAGGACAGGTAGTGTGAATCACCTGTGTCGGAAGTGGGGGTCTCAGCCTTTCCCTTTGACCTGTGGCTGGACTCACTGCCCTTCCGCCGGCGCGCACTGGCCCAAGGGCAGTACCTTGGGAAACTGTCTCTAGTGCTTGCTAGAAACCTCTCTCTCGTAGAAGCCCTCCTTGGCTGTGCAGGCGTTCTTGTTCCGGGCAGGTGGTGCAGTTTGTTCCCATGTGCACGCAGCCCCTTTTTCCAGGAACACGCATGGGACACACACGTGCTTCAGGCGTGTGCACAGGTAGCCCCCCGGGGAGGAGCGTGTTATTAATAATAATTTAAAAATCAAGCTAAATAGAAACCCGCAATACGCACAGAGGCCCAAGCTTCGGTCTGTGGTCATGACGGGAGAGCTTTTGAAGGGACACTCGGATTCTTGAAACAACAACCACCAAAAAAAAAAAAAAAAAAGTAGCGTTTTGCACATTCCATGGTTTGGCAAAGCCGGAGCTGGTTATTTTCTCTAGACCGGTATCAAGTTCTTCTCGGGCATATGATTTCACTTGAAGTCCTGCCCAGGAATCCTTCAAAGCGAGCGTTTGTCCGGCTCTCATGATGTCAGGCGGTTTTCCCCGCATCTGTAATTTGAAGAAAAAAACAAACAACCCAAAACAAACAAACCTGCAGGGAACCAACGCCACGGAAACGCATATAGAACCCGGCGCGGCAGCCAGGGGCTCTCCTGCGGCAGGGGGCGCGGGCCGGGGCACCAACGCGGCGTGGGTGGCAGGCCGGGCGGCGTAGGGGACCCGGCCGGCCCCCGTGGCCTGCTCGCGCCGCGTGGACGGCGCGGGGCCTGCGTCCGGCCGCGGCTCGCCAGCGGCGGCGCCTTGTGTCGGCGGTAGCCAGGGCCGCGGCGGCCGCCGCAGAGCCAGGCGGAGGCCCCAAGCCGCAGGTTCCCAGCGACACGCAGGGGTCCCCGGGGGCCACTCTTGCAGTTTTCTGCCTGCGTGTCGTCCAGCGTGCCGCAGACCGGGCCTTCGCGAAGCGCCACCGGGAGGATTCTGCCGTGGTCTCTGTCTGCTGGACGGCGAGAGCCGGGGCACGGGGCACGGCATCCATTTTGCACCAGCTCGGGTCTTCGTAGGGGGGTGGACCCCCGGGCGCGAGCCCACTTGAGGTTCTGGGCGAATCGGAGGTGTGAGATCGGCGTGGGCGGCGCGCGTGGAAGCCCCAGACGTCCACTGAACTAGGGGCCGTCTGCGGCAGGTCGTGGCGAGGTGGGGCCCTTGAGCGTCGCCGGCACGCACGTGCGCATCGGTAGGAATCGTGGTTAAAAAAAAAAAAAAAAAACATGATATCCAAACTTCAAAAACAAAACTCCATTGGAGCGGGGATTTCGAGGGCGCCCGCTCCGGGTTTACGCGGAAGGGTCTCTCGCCTGCGACCTCCGTGCGCTCTGCCTGCCCTTGAAGCCGGAGCCATAGAAATTCCGCCCCCCTCCCAAAAAAAATCTAGAGTAAAACCAAAATCTTCACAGCCTGCATCCCAGAAAGCAAGGGCCTTTAGGTGTCTGGGAGGCCGGCCGGCCTCAGGTGGCTGCGACTACGGCCTCCCAGGCAGGTGTCGCTCGGTTTTGTTTGGTTTTTGAGGGGTCTGCGAGCCGGAATCGAAATGCGACTTCTCTCCCAGGCTGCAGGACGCAGGCAAGGTCGCGCCCTAGGCCAGGCCCGGGAGGAGGAGCGGGGTCGGCCGGAGACGCGGGCCCCAGCCCGGCTCGGCCCCGAGAAGAAGGGCGGGAGGGGGCCATGCTGGCGGAAGTCGGGGCCTCCAGGCGAGTCGGGCCAGGCAGGGCCGGACTGGGCCCCGGCGCTCCACGGCGGGATCTGCCACTAAGGGGCAGGGGCCGCGCGGGCGCGACACGAGTGTGGCAAGTGGACAGGTACCTGCAGGAAGTTATCTGGGCCAGCGGTGGGGCTTACACGAGCTGTCACGTGAAGAGAACAGATGTGCAGGTTGCCGATGGGGCCACGCCTGCCAGGAAGGCCGAGGCTGCGAGGAAAGCCCAGGTATAAATCATCCAACCCCCTTCTCTCCATATCTGTTTTCCGCCTTTCCGCATTTGCTTCCGGAAAGGGATGGACCACACCTTCCAGGAGCAGTCCGGTTCCCCAAGCCCGGTATCAGCGCGCCCCGCCCCCCCCCCAGGGGCCTGGGGCACTTCACGTCCCCCACCCCACCCCCCACACTCCTGCATTGCGTGCTCGCCTTCCCCACCCCCCACGGCTCTCCCCCCGCCTTCCCCCAAGACGTGGGATCCTGAGAAACGGATCGGATCTCGGTTGGGGGAAGCTGAAACTAATCAATTGCTTTTTTGAAGGGGGTACTGGGTGATAAGAGCGGAGGAATGCTGGGCCTGACAGGCCCCAAACCTGCAAGATGCCGAAATGGTCTGAAAGATGGGAGAGCTTTCCAAACCAAGATGAGAGACCCACTGGATTGGAAAGGATTTTTTTTTTTTAATGACTCGTACACGCAGAAGGCTTTGTTTTCTATGGGAAAGGAAAGCTGGATTTTTAAGCAGAATTAAAATAATTAGCAGCTGCCCGGTGGTGGAAGAGAGGGCCATTTCTTTCTCTGAATGTGAACAATGTGGCACTGGCCTGGGTCTCTGCACACGGGGAGGATGTACATGTGTGCCCCCAGTAGATGAAGGCTGCATTTGAAATGAACCATGTGGGGTGGCTCTTCTTTTTTAAATGCAACACTAATACCACCACCACCACCCCAACCTCTATGCCACTGACATCTCATCTGGCCCCAAATACCAGAAAGCCACCCAGACAGCTCTCTACTTTAAGCAAACTTTTGAAAGTCAGGGTATATTCTTCCACAAAATTCAATCCAATTTTACTGTCAGAGTTTATCTTCTTCTCTGGGTTTCCCACAGGCGTGGTTGGAATTGGAAAGTATTCAAAGTAATCACATCAGCTTTTTAAGGATTGACAATTTTTTAAATGCTCAAGACCAGATAAAC